AGTTGATTTTGCTTCGCACACTATATCGCTCTTGCGGAGCTTCTGCCAACACAGGGAGCAAGGCATTCAATTTCTGCTTTAAGCACCTCTCTCCTTTCTTTCCTTCTGCCGGAAGGAGTCCAAAAACTGCAGAGTAGACAGACCAAAAACTGTAGTAGGGATGCAGCCGTAAGAGAGACTACAGTTTAAAATGCAGTATCTGCAAAGCATCAGCCCCTAATCTATTCACAGAAATAGAAAACCAGACAGGAAATCCAAGTGCAGAAGGGAGATGTAAAATAAAACACTAACAAAGGGCCAAGACATCAAGGGGAACAAATGGCTATGAAATAATGACAAAACCTGAGATTACTCTTTGGAAATGTGGACGAGGGTCCAAAAGCACATAGAAAAGAACTCGTCACGTCCAAATCCTATCCCCACTTTCTTTGACTCCATTATCAGAAGAGCGGGCAGTGGACGGGCAGTTGCCAGAGTGACTTGTGTCAAATGCAGAAAAGAAGTAGCTTTACCTCTACATGGATCAGCCAAGGGGCAGACTTGGAAAAGAAGCAGCAGAACCACTGAACCCTGCTTCATGTTGCTGTGGAGAGGGGAAAGTTCAGGGTAGTCCATTATTTGTTGAAGAAGGGGGCCTCTGTGAACAGCCTGGATCTGAACCATTGCAGTGCCCTGCACGTGGCTGTGGTAAAGGGGAAGTATATCATCTGTGAGAAAGTCATCAAATCTGGAGCTGATATGGAGCTGAGGACAGACTAAGGTTGGACTCCTCTGCACTTGGCTTCTTTCAAAGGACACGCTGAAATCATTCACCTGCTAAAAGACAGCCACGCCAAAGTGAATGTCAAAGGAACCATGGACTGGACACCGCTTCACTTGGCCGCTCACTATAGTGAAGAGACAGTGGTCTGTGAGCCTTTGAGATGTGGGGCAGATCCCAATGTAGCTGGGAAGTCAGAGTGGGCCCCTCTCCATTTTGCAGTCCAGCAGGGCTCCTTTTGGAGCGTCACGAATCTCTTAGAGTGCAATGCAGAAGTCAATGCTAAAAATCAAGTTGGTTGGACGCCCTTGCACCTTGCTCTCCTAAAGGGCAACATGGCCATCATAAAGACCTTGATTATGGCTGGTGCTCTGCTTGATGTGGAAGATATCACTGGCTGTATGGCCCTCCAGTTGGCCATTAGACCTCAGAGAGAAAATATCTTTACATTGCTTCAAGGGACAGACTCACCAGTGAATAGATAAGGGAATAGGACTGTGGTGAGTGATTCGAAGATATCAAGAACTAAATTCGTTACAGGAAGGATAGAACTGTAGATACCAGGTGCTGTTCCTTAAACCAGTGTACCCTGGAGCCTGGTGAAAACAGGGAAATTGTGCTGTTGTTGTTATGTATTGTTTTATTTTAAGAAAGTTCCTAAGGCACACATTTGATGGAAAGACTTGTAAAGCATGAACACCAAAAGAGTAGAAGAAAATAGAGCTAGAGAAAAAAGATATATATATTTTTTTTTGGAAGGTCTTACTAAGTGCATAGAACATTTCAGGTTGATGATGTTGGCTTTAGGCAATGCTTTCCCAAGAGCATTAGGCAATGCTTTTCCTCCATAGCATGGAGAGATGGAAATGGACATAGCTTATGTAGTCTGTCTTTATTTGGACATAATGCTGGAACTGTGCATATTGACCATATGTGCATGTCTACTACAGATTCTTTTGCCTTTATTGTGTGTTTTTGTACCGAGCAAATTGGTGTAAACTGGCCTTGGCACATATGAGACCTGAATCTTGAGATTTTCACCTGCTGTTGGAAATAGACACTAAGCATATGGTACAGCAATGTGTCAGATTTTCTGACATCCCATTTTCATAAAAAGAACTTTTCACAAAAATCACGCAAGGAAGAAAAATCAGTAGGGAGAAGTCTTTACATGGATATAGCCAAGAGAAAAGGTATTCCAGGATAATTCTTCTCCATCCTTTCAGAATAAAATGAACCAGGAGATTTTTCCTTAAGCGTTCAAATTATTTACTGATCCCCTTTGCCCCTTAAACACTGAAGCTGTCTCTAGAAAGGTGCGATTCTGGATCCTGTTCCCTGTTGGGCTTATGGTACTGAGTTAAATTGCCGAGATTGAAACCTCCCTATTAAAAATGTGCTTTTATGTTTCTAGGGGTGAACAGAAAAATTTTATGCCAAATGCATGCTGTTTATGTGTGTGGTCTTACTTGCAGGGTGATTCCTGCAAGAGCAGTCACCCCACAGTAAGTTTGATAGCAGTACAAATAATGCAGGGTGTGTGCAGCTTGATGTTTGCTAACCCCAAAGAAGTTAGTGCTTAACAGTGGATGCACAACAGAGCTGACTTTTTTAGACAAGGTTTTAGTGTTCGATTTGCTGGGAAATGATTCCAGATCTCCATAACAAAGATGTTGAGAGGTGGATTATTTGTCTAGTGACCACATGTGCTTTATGGGTTGGAGTCTTTTGTTGCGGCAATGCTTTTGTGCTGCCTGTAGTAATCCTGCTGTGGTTTGATAAGGAGTTCCAAAACTTGCCAGAGAGATTCTGGTTAGTGACTTCCTTCTTGTGTATCCAAGAGAACACCAGATGTTGTTGTCCAGGAATAGCTGAGAATTGATCAGGAGAGAAAAGAAAGATGGAGCAGACATGTGAGACTTAAAAATGCTCTATAAAATATATACTTAATGGTGCATGAGTCATATCTGTATTTCATTGTTCAATGTTGTGCATTTTTTAAAAAAAAAAAAAAAAGAAAAGATGTCTTACCCACTGATTTTTTTTTCTGGTCTATGCTAAGTAAAAGATCTGATGTGATGATTGTAATGAAACTGTCTGCTATTACAAATTTCTTGGACACTTCTCATACATTTATTTTCCTTCTGATGTTTGACACTTGTTAAAGCATGTGTAGGGAGCACTTTATAAACTGGGCTGAGAGAGAAGGCGACCTGCATGCCACAGGGCAGGCTCATCTGAGTGAGAGGCTGAATCAGAAAAACTCTGGAGAACACCAGGTATGCCCCTTTTGCTGCCTCACTTCTTGAGAGAATCTTCTTCAATCCCCCGACCCGTCCGGAAGAGTTAGCGTGTGAGAGCTGTTTTACTTCATTTTCATGCAAAAGACTAAAAATGGTTTTTTTTTTCCTGCTGACTCTTGCCTGGAAGAGAGGTGAGGTGCCTTTGCTGAGGATGGGCCCAGCTAACACCAGCTGCACGGACTACAGGAGGGCCCAGGGCACAGACCAATGTGGCTCTTGCTGGCAATGCAGAAACGTGAAAGCTGGTCACAAGCACAGGGCTGCTGGTAGCAAATCGGAAATGTCTCTGATTAAAATGTCATAGTTTTCATACTCAAACAGCTTGGAAGTCTCCTGCTGAGACTTAAGCTGTTTAGTTGTTGTTAAGCTGTCAGAGGCATAACATTAAAGAACTGTGAGGCATAGACAGATCTCCCTTGGTGTAACATTTTTACTCCAATATTATTTTGAAGCTATTTTTCTTAGCAGTGATGCTTGAAATTCTGCAAAATGAAGGCTGTGACTGGCAGCAGGAGTATCAGTCTCGCTTTAGTGGTAATGGTTTAAAACAAAAAATCACCAACGAGAAATCCCCAAACCTTAACAGTAACTAAAGTAAGGCCAAGATGGGTTTTTCTTAACAATCTGCTCAAGGGCCCAAATTTGTGACATAAACCTTTTGTGTTTGTTTTATTCCCCTCAATCTCCAGAGAGTGGAGAGAGAGACAGGGGTGGGGGGGCGGGGGAAGATAAAAAAAAAAAAGGCAGGAAGGGCTCATGTGCACCATCTGTGCACGGGGCCTAGCTCCTCTGGATGGAACAGAACTGGTGCTTTAACAGACTTGTAGACACACACAAAACAAAAGCTTCGGAATTGTTTTCATTTACAAGCAGGGCTCCATGAAGGCACAGTGAAAATTAACAACATTTATATCTTAGTTGGGTCTGCAGCCCTTCGGAGAGAATCTGCATCTGCTGAGAGTCCTGCTGCGGTGAAATTCTACTGTGGACGTTGATGCATCCTGGTGTCACTGGTAAAGCAGGAAAAATGGAGATCACTGGAAGTAAGAAGACCTTGCAAATTGTTGTGAGAGTAACAGTGATCCACATCCATGAATGCCAGTAAGAGCTTTGCTTTCGTTTTCCTCACCTTCCCCACGCTTCTCTCTCTAGCGTTCATTTCTTTGCTTGTCCCAGTGGATTCATGCATGCAATGGTATTTGTGAAGGGAATAATAGAAAAGCCGCTGGAAACACACTAATGTAGTATTGAAGACTGAGCTTTCTTTTTCTTATATTGATACTTTAAAATATATATTTTTGCCCTTAATATCAGATAATATTACATCTTTTCTTGAGCACTTCCTCTTCTCAGGATCAGTGATGCTACCATACCATTCTGGGAACATACATGTTACTGATAACAATATAGATCTGCAGACTTAACCAGTGTTCTGGGTTGTACAAGTTATCTCAGAATTTGATTAATTTTACCCAACGCAATAACGTGAGCTGTTTACATGAGACAAATAGGATGCCCCAGATCAGGGAATTAGGCTAGAATAAGCCTTCTCCTCAAAATCTGCAAAGATTAAAAACAAAACCAAAACAAAGAGGTCCGCCATTCAGGTTTTGTCCCTGCTGGAACATTGATTGTGTTGCTTAGCTACCAGTCCCGAGTAAAACAAAGAGGCTAGTCAGAAGAGTCCTCCCTGGAATAATACTGTCTTACAATTATGGCCATCAGAAAGAAAAAGCTATCACGAGGAAGCTGTGTTCAGCTGTGCTCCAATCTAGGGAGGATCCTCACATGTCCATCTCACAAAAAAATGAGCAATTTTTTTTTTTCCTGAGTCACTGCTGCTGTGCAGATTCCTCCATTCGAAGCTCTTGTCCCAAAACAGCTTTCATAGGACCGGTTTGAGGTAATCTTCTCTTCAGGTGTTCTGTGTCTGAGATGGCAGCTGTGGGCACTCTCCAGCACAGAAGAGAGGGCAGGATGGACAGCATTCTTCAGCCACGCAAGCCTTTCCTGTACATCCTTCTCCCAGCTTTAGTCGGATTGATTCAGATGGAGAAAGCGAATGTCTGCGCCGCTTGGTATCATGTGAAATACTTGCAAGGGGGGCAGGGTGGGCAGGGCAGGAAACTAATTCAGCAGCTCATTTCTGTCATCATTCTGACAGAGAAACAAAACTCAGCTTGTATGTCATACTGCACTCTCTAGAAAAGCTTAATTAAATTTATAATGAAAATAACAGGGTATTAAGAAAGCACAAGAGAAATATGTATGCCTCTTGCGGAGCGTTACTGAGGTGGTAGAAGCAATTTTCAGTGAAAACTACCTGATTGCTGCTCAATTTTTAAAGAAATTATATGAGTCTTTACAAACCCTAGAAAAGTGCATTCCAGCCCCCACTTTGTTACTGTGCAACTCGCCACTTGTTATTTATAAAGTTAATCGTAGGTCTCCATTCCCCTTTTCCCTTATTCAAACACATTTTAGTCTTTTGTCCCTGCTGATAAATATACCGACGATTATGTTGTGTTCTTAACCAAGAACTGCCAAAGTTGACAGCCCACATCAGCTGTGTCTTTTGAAGGAAGCAATAACAAGACATAAATCCTCTAAATGTCTCCTTTTTTTTCAATTAGGCTCTTTAAAAAGACCTAGCTCATGCAGTCCTAAGCCTCATACATCTTAAAGGTATCCAGAGCTGCTGATGTGCCAACTCAGGAGTAGCGCCTCAAACACAAAATCATTCTGGCACTAAATCCTGTCTTCCCAATGTCCCATCATCATCATCTGGTGTTTCATTTTCGAAGGCATTCCTAGCAACAGATACAGCAGATTAAAAGGTGTTTCTTGCCCTTCAGACGACTGAGTTTTACTGCATAGCCCCGTGGGGGGGGGGGGGGGGGGGGGGGGGGGGTGGACTCTAACAACAAATTCTCCAGGCTTTATCATTCATTTGGAGAGATTTAAATGGAGGCTGGAAATTTCTTCTCCTTCTGCAGATGGACTGTGGCTGCGCGGCCACACATCTGGGACTGTGTGGTGGAGAGGGTCCGCGGTGCTATACTGTCTGATAAGCTGTGCTGGTCTTGGCGGGTGCAGAGGAGGAAGGAGCCGAGGCTCTGCCCACGCTGGGGTCACTGCACAGGATAACTGGCTGCAACAAGTGCCCCCACACACCGTTAAATGCGTGGCACTTTTGAGGGACAGGTGCCCAATGGGATTAGCAGGATACAGAGCTTTGTGTAAACCCATAAACCCCTTCATAACAGTAACAGTAGCAATTTGGCTTGGTTGCAGAAGCCTGGCAAGCAGTCGTCCCTGCTTGATGAAGCCCTGGAGAGAAATAGATGGCCAGGGCTGACCCAGTCACTTTTGTTAAGAAGGAAGAGCTAGAGCAGCAGAGTGGTCTTGAGAGGCATCATTAAAGCTGTGCTAATGGGACGTGGAGGAGTCCCTAGAGCTCCCACAGAGAGGAACAGTGTACGTAAGGGAAGTGGCAATGTCAGAGAGGGGTGATGATTCCCAGGAATAGACCTTCCTGAAAACCTTGTGGAAGAAAACTGTCAAGTGTTGTCTGCATCAAGCCCAAGCTGCTTGGAGGGAGCAGCCCTGGGGGTGACAGATGAGACAGCGACTGGCAGGTCAGGTGAGACGGTCTGAGTGGAGCACAGGCCATTACAACCCACCTGCTCCTGCCCTGTCTTTTCTCTTTCCAGACTGCACAGCACTTATCTGTGCTATTCCCCAGCTTTAGGGAATATTCTCAGTCTCTTCTTTTGAAATCAAATTACATATTGTTTCTAAAAGCAGCTCCCCACCCAGTTCTGTCATTGCATGCAGACATGAGCAAACTTCCATTAAAGTAATGGAAGAAAGTGCCTGACTGGATATCAAGGAGCTCTTGCTGTTTCCTCCTACCAGGCATTTCATCCACAGCAAGTTTAACATCTTTTGATTCTTTCATCAGCTGCTACTTCCCTTTATTCTGGCTTATATCACAGCATGAAACTCTTCTTTTCTGTAATTTGCCACTGGCCTAGGTACAAGCCCTCTTTCTCTCCTACTGGGAAAAAAATAATCGTTGTTAAATCTTGAAACTACTTTGCATAGTTCTGTAGGCCTGCGCTCTGCAGCACGGAGGCACTTTGGAGGGAAGTTGCTGTGGCTCAGACTTGCAGCTTGGGAATTCAGCTTTCTGTTTCTAAAACTCTCTCTGGCCTTGGGAAAATCCCTTTATACCTAGACAAGACCCAGGAGGAGAGGTTTATATCCCCGCTGTGGTGAGCAGTGTAGGCTACCTTAGGGGTCCAGCACTGCTAGGCTCTAAATCTCTCCGACAGCACAAGCTGTGTTGTGTTTGGGGTCCAGGATCCAGGGTGTCCGTAAGCAGAGGTGTCTGTGCAAGTGTGATGCTTCAAAGGTGAGACTGATGCTTTTAGGAGCATCATAACTACAAACTGTTCTTGCAATGAAGCGATACTGTGGCATCTGCTTGTGGAGTGAGCAACAATTCTTTCCCATTGGAGCTAGGGCATGGGTTATCGGATTGTGTTTTTAGGTCCTAAATCTGCCAACGTGCAGGCATTTAATGAACTCTCTGTATTTGCTCAGCTTAAGTTCACCACTTTCCATAGGCGATCACTGCGAAGAGCTTATGTCTCATATTATTACAACTTTTTCACCATCTGCTGCCTCTATTAAAGGAGACAGGTATGAACTCCTGGAATAAATATCCCAGAGCTTCTTTGCTCAGTTGCCCGCAAATATTCAGTTATGATATACTGAGTTGCATGAATGCAATTTAGTTAACAAAGGCATTTTGTGCAACTCATAACTAATATGCAGCTCTAATGAACTGGTCTTTATTTAATAAATAATAGCTTGATTCTGTGCTAAAAGAATGTGGTTTGAAAAATACAAATTAAAGAAGATCAAAGATCAGAACCATGCAATGGACAGAAAACTCAGCCAGCCCCCACAGAACATGACTTAATGCTCCTTCCTGAAGATATGTGATAATTGAATTTCTGAATCAACAAGTAACTTTACTGTTAGAAATTATCACATTAAAGATTCCATCTCTCTACGGAACAATTGTAGAGAGGAAGAATAGGCCAGGGTCGGCAATAAAGAGGTACAGTAATTAGCTGCAATAAAGGATAAAATGAGCCTCTCTCCTTAGTATTAATCCTGTGGTTCTTAAAGAAAAACATTAGCGATATTGTTAGAACTTAGTTTAGATGGATTTTTTAAGTTTGAGGCATATCTGCACTCATTCCATGGGAGTTTTTACTGCTCTTCAGCAGAAGCTTACTTCTCAGTAAAGCAGTGAAGTGTTAACACTGTAAAATTCCATTGCTGTTAACAATGTAAACACTGTAAATGCTGTTAACACTGTAAAATTCCATTGCTGTTCTTTGGACAAACTGATCTGTCTGCTGCAAGCAGAAGAATACTTAGAGGGGAATTCAGGGAATTCATTTATCTCTTTGTCCGCCAAAACACTTTGCTGAGACAAACCTGCCTTTATTTTGAAGAAATGTTTGTCGTCTAACATGCAGCAAGATACCTCCCAGGAGAGCTGAGTATGTCTGTCTATTTGCTGGGCAATATGTTGTTCCTTTTGACTAAACACTGCTGTGTTCTGCTTATGGCTCATCTCCCATTGACTTCAGCAAACGCAGCAAAATATTGCAGGACATGAACCCACTGAGACATTTCAAAACAGGAAAAGGGAAAAAAAAATCACAGAGAGCATTAAAAAAAGGCGTGGCAGGGAGGAGAAGGGTGGAAGTCACTGGAGGCCCAGTGAGGAACTTAAAATTCTGGGAGGTGCTTTCAAGATCATGGGTGCGTTACATGCTCAGTCGAGACATTTCACTTTGGTGCAGAAGGACAGGTTTTAATTGACATCTCTCAAGCATAACTGGATAAGTACCTGTATAGTTGAAACAGGAAAACATCCATTTGGACATGGATGTCCAAAGCCCTCTTCACTGTCTAGAGATGGGTCACCACAGGGCTGCGAATTGTACTGTCTGTAGCCAAATGTAATTTAGTCTCTGCCACTCCTGCTGCCGCTTAATTTTCAGCACTGGCATTCAGCTGCCAGATACTTGCCTCTGAGCACCCGGAGGCGACAGAAGGACTCAGACTTGCTACGATTCATTAGTTTGGGTGTTAGTTTCCACAGTCCTACTCTGAGCCTGTCCTGTGGGCAGGCACACATGCATGAGTGTTGACTCTTGCAGGCCATCAGCACAGACCATGGTAATTACAATAATTAATTCTTTCACCTCCAATCAGGTTTTGTGGGCCACAGCAGCTGGGTGCAATTGATTAATTGCCTCTGTTAGGTGGACTAGATCTAGCCTGGGAGAAAATGCATTCTTAAATGCAGGGAACAGAGTATGCTTAAGATTTCTACAGCTGCTGTGTGAGCCCTGGTGCTGTGAGTTGCATTCCACATTTACCTGTATGAGTAGCAAGGACTAAATGGCAAGTATTAGTTCCTTGGAAATGGGGATTGTGCTCTTAATTTCATGAGGAAATCTGCGTTTGTAGATGCTTTGAATAGAAGACAAAGCTTTATCTGGGCTTTTTTTGCCCTGAAACTCAGAGAATTTGACAAGGGAAATGACTCCCAAATGAGCAGTTACTGAAAATATTTCAGCTCCTTTTTCTCTTTGCAGTTTCCATGTTGAAAGATCTGTATCTTTAGTTATCAGCAGAAATTAAACAGCTTGAAGCAGTGTGTGTGATGTGTGTGTGTCGATGCTGTCAGTGGTTTAAAGCAGCCTTTGTGAGCGAATTAGCGAATAAGATCAGAGATAGGGGAGAGTGTGGAGGATGCTGGGTGATGTGCAGAAAATAGGGAGCATGCAGGGAGTTCAGGTAAGTGGGCTGGACTGGGCTATAAACAGCTTTAGACTATTTGTCTGGGAGTCAGTATTTGCTCTTTTCTACCTGTTGGGAAGGGGAAGTCATGTTTTCCCATTTCTAATTATGGGAATCATGTGTGCTTCGTGTTCAATAATCATTAGCTCATGCTAAAATTGGTCCCTGTGCCAGCCAATGGTCC